ATAGGGCACTTCCTCTGATCTCTCACCCATCTCTGGGTTGAATTAATGAAGTACTAGCAATATACCAGAGATGTACAAACTGCCCCACAGGCTTTAGAGAGGAATTTCCTTCGGTCATATCACCATTCCTTTTCCTTGACTTTACTTTTGGTTAGTAAGGACATTAAAATGGTTTGCCAAACTTTATCTCGCTAGGATAACGTTTCTGAATACTGTACTTCCATTCACCAACCAAATCAGACTGTACCAAGCCTGATAATTTGGTGTCCTTTCCTATCTGCAACCTGTTGCAATCTGTGGTAATTGCAAACAGTAACTAGGCTGTCCAACACACCAGAGCATTCCTAATTGAACAAAGTCATAAGTAACAAACACAATCCTTCCACCTCTATTGCGCACTCAGAAATATTTTTTTATTTAAGATTGCATTTCCCAGGCACTAGTGGGGAGAAAATTAGAAAAAAACAATTGGTGGTCATGTTTATTTTTTAAAAAATGCATTTATTTAGTAAAGATTCAGAGCCAATTTAAGTCAACAATTAATTCTTATCTGTTACTGAAGTTTCTCTGTTCCAAGCTCCAAAATATTTGGATTTCCGTTTGATGCATTAGATCTGATCAGAACGACACCAGAGCTGAATAATATCTGATATAAATACCAGATATTATCTTTTTACACCAAATGACAGGAACTGGTAAGAGTTTCTGAATCATCTTGAACTGATTGATTTAACTTAGTTATATGCTCTCCCATTTGGCCACAAAAAAACACAATGAATTCAGAACTAAAATGGATTTTAATATACCCAAATCCTCCTTGTTCAAGTCTTAAAAGAAACTTTGATATGCATGACTGAAGTAGTAAAAATGCAGAGTTGTTGATATATTCTTGGGACAGCTTGGTGCACTCACGTCCATCTGACTGCAGCCAACATGCAAAGCTGTAGCAAAGTACCTCAAAACCTCTGACCACTCATAGAATTCTCAATTCCCCCCTGCAAAGCTGTGTCTCTATAGGAATTGTGGATTCCTGCTGTAGATCAGTATCTCACAGTACAGAAAGGATATAAATTTCAGCACGACTGTGAACATTCATTCCAAAGCAGAGCAAGATCCAAGAACTTTTTCTGCAGATGAGCCAAGTACAGATAGAACAACAAATCGAGTTACAAGCTTTGGAATGCCAGAAAATACACATCTTTCTCTGTCAAATGATGCTGGAATAAATGTCTCCTTCCTGCATATGTTTTGACTCTTGGTATTAGTGCAGCAACGTTTAAAACAATAAGAATTTAACGTAGAACCATTTTAAAATATACACAGTATAAAGTTATTCACTGTCAACCAGGATAAGGAATATAATGGACTGCTTAAATACTAACAGTTTTGTGGTGTTAATACTATAATCCTTAAGTTTGACGGCAAGTGTGATGGGTATTTTTAAACTCTTAATTTTTTTNATAGAGACAGTCTTTAGATAAATGTCTTTTGAAACCGAGGAATTAACTGTATCAGCAAAATTAAAGCAGTGTTTTTAGCAAAAAACTACAATGGTGTAATTAAAGTTGATACAAACGGCAAAGCATGTCACAAAGCAGACATGGATAGTCATTGATACAAATGAAAAGGAGAAACAGCGAGAAGAATCTGTGTAACAGAATTGAAGGAAGAGTACAGGTCAATCAATACACAACGTTTTTTGTAAGTAACAGCTAGGAAATATAAAAAAACTAGACAGGGTTTTCATTAGTAAAGGAGGAAAGAGATAAAATTGCTGTCGGCGTAATTAGAATTTAGTTTGGCTCAGGGAAGAGCAGAATGGGACCTGAAAGGTTAAAACTATGGCTTTCAAATGAAAACCCTGTTTGTGCTGCTCATAGAAGAATAAGCCACCAAAGTGTCAGAGCAAATACTACAAGGAACGACATTACAAAAGGAATGCGAGGATGCTCAAACGTTAAAGAGTAGAAGCTACAAGGTTTTATTTTGGCTAGGTCGTCTGGAATCTGAATGAAAACCTTTTGGGAGCTTTCTTCCTCTGTTTTCTCTGCAAGTGCAGTCCCTGTCGTGTCCTGCTTTCCCTTTAGCTTATCTTCTTCCTGTACTAACAGAGGTATTTTCTTTGTCTGCTTTCATGACAGAAGACCAAGAGAAAAGAGAGATGAACCAATGAAAGATGGAAAAATGAAGCTTTGGAAGTGAAAAGGTAAAAGAGAAAAGGAAAAAAATAAGTAGCATTGGAGGGGGGGAGGGGAGGGGGAGAGGGCGGACAAATCACAAATCAAAATAAAACGATGTGGGGGGGGGGGATTCGTTCCTGCACGGGTTTTTACACTTCAAAATTTAAGGGAATGATTGCAAGAGTGGTGTATACTTCCAGAAACATGAAGGAAAGAACCAAAAAAGAATAAAATGTGAAAATATTGCAATGGAACAAGGTTCGCTGGCACTTTGGCAGGTTTGGCTTTGAAAATGTATGACCATTTCTTCATGCACCCTCCAAGCAGCCATGCACTGTTTAGTTGCCATTCTTAAAGCTGCAGGAGTGTAAGTCTTCACTGTTAAGAGTTTGGGGAATTGTAAGAGTAGAAAAACTGATGTCTGTTGACTAGCAACTCAAAGATAACTCAGCATTGATGAGATCTGCTTGTGCAAATAAAATATTGGCATTCACAGCACAATTATAACAACTTTACCTCTGGCCCACCAAGCTTCTTTTCAGGGCGTAAGCCAGAACCCATCATGGCCTGTACGTACATAAAGTTAGTCATTTTAGACACTAGACAGGGATACATTGGTAATATGCACTTTTGTTTTAATGGCAACACACACGAGGAGATTGACCCACCAAATGAACATCGGTTCTCAACACTTCTCTACCAACTTACTGCACGATAACGGTGACCAAGGAAGGTTTTTTTTCATTCAAAAAAGTACATCAAGCCATCCCATCACATGGCTTCCACCATCCCATTACATGTTGCAATGCATCAATCACTTTTTGTTGATGTTTTTAAGTACCATATTGCCACGAGCTTTCCCCCCACCAGCCCCCTCACCATTCATCTATTTAGACAGAGCATCTCTTATATTTTGACTATGATCTTATTCTCAATCTTTAAATCAAGGTCAAGAGAAGGAGAGCGTGGGTAAATTAACACGTTCAGAACTTCATATGAGGAAAGGCTACAGCAGCTCAAAAAAGTAAGTCAATAAAGTGTTTGTCTCATTGATTCCTTTCCAGGTTTCCAAAGTAGAGCAATTGGCTTGACATGACTGCTGGGGTGGCGGGTGGGGAGAGAGGAGCGCAAACCTTATACCATAGACATCTGGTAGTTAATATACTGGTCACTCACTAATCGCCCCATGACGCTACCCTGCTGCTCCTTATATTACATCTTGATGCCTGAAACTATTCTCCGTATAATCTACGGAGAATAGTTATCAGGCATCAGGGCGCAATATAAATGCAAGTTGGCAAATTAAAGGATTTTAGTCTGAGTCAAAAATGGGATCTGTCTACTGAGACACAGAGTATATTAGTGTGGGCTCGGTGAGGAATTCTAAGCAATTCTAAGTGATGTGGACTGACTGGTGTATTGGTTCCAATGCATTATGTTCTCCCTGACATTTGGACAACTAACACCTGGGAATTAGAGTAGGATGAGAACAGAATTACTTCCAATAATTTGTGGTTTTGGCAGCGTTAGAGATAACAGCTTCAACTATCCTAGACTAAATATTTGCCTGAGCCTCTCAGGCAGATACTTTTCAGGATCGTCTCCAGAGGTTTTAAGAGAATTCGAATGTAAAGTTGTGACAGCAGAAAGTCTCAGGCGCAGGAGTCTTGAGAAGAATGCCTTTTTCCTCATGGTTCACAACAACTTAAATGAAGGATCTGTCATAAATGACAAATGTTAAAAGTCAAGCTCAAGGCAAAAAAATGTCTAGGTTTACTGGTATTCGGGGCAACCAATTATCACAGAACAAACACTGCTGGGCCTTACTGCTGGGGGTCTAATAGTGCTTCTCTTAGTCATAGGAACAGCAAAGATTTAACCAAAGCCAAAGGATAGAGCAGTTCTGATCCAGGGTGGGTATACTCTTCCAGGGATAAAATCTCACATTCTCAGAATAATATTCCTAACGCTGGCAAGATTGAAATCTTCAGCGAATGGATTTGCCATCTGAAATTGTTTGTGTATATTGAACACCAGGGGGAAGACTTCACAGTATTCATGACACATTTATACAGTATAACATCATATAACAAGTCTCCTTACCTGTTGCTGAACTGTTATTCGTAGGCGGTTGTGAATAGACACTAGCTCACAGACGGAGAATAGTTATCAGGCATCAACTGAGATTTATTTACTGCAGGTTCAATACCTACATCAACACTTGTGTACTAGTGCAAAGGAACTAACACTGCTGTGCTTTTCTGCTCATTTATGCGATTGCTTCTGTGTTGGTGACACATTAGATGTTAATATAGCTGGGATTTCTAGACAGATATGCATATATTGTTAAAAATCCTAGCATCTATTGTGTGACATGGAAATACCAGCCCTACAGCCCAGAATAATTATGAGGGCAAAAGCATTACTTTGTTACGCTCCCAGTTAGACATAGAATACTGCACACGGTGGAAAACTAGTTTGAGACTTAGTGTATGTGGGAATCTAATTTGATAATGAGTTGCCACCTGAATTTTTGATACCGAGCTGCTGACACCTCATCTAATCCTAATTTAACTTGCCTCGTATTGAGTTTTAAAAAAGACTCAGACAAATGCATTGGAACATGACACCTCAAACAATTAAGTGGACGGCAACTGACCTGTCAACACACCAGGCAGATTTGTGACCAGTACAGAACAAACATCACTAGTAACGGTGCTAAAAGTTGCTAAGAATCAGAATTAAAACACTCACATTTAATTAAGCTGGTGCGCCACAAATCATCAGCTAAGCGAGAGGGAAAATAAATTGCAAACTTACTCCTTCCGTGCCAGACTGAACTTGTCCATTAATGTTCAACGTTCGAAAAGGCGAGTGTGCGGAAAGCCGTTTATCCCATTCGCTGGGTCGTGGCTCAGGTACAGACTCCATAAAACTGCGCTTGAGTTCGCTTATACTAGCGTGGTGTTTCATTATCTCATCCTGGGTTTTATCTAGGTCCTATTGCAAAAAGTTGAGTGAAAGGGGGAAGAAGAGTTTTAATATCAGGAGAAAATTGGTAAAAACGGCCAAGAAAAGACTTATTAAAAAAAACATACAGGCCTTTAATTCCGAGCAGTAACAGTGCAACACACACCTATTCAATACCTCACTGCTTTGAGGGAAAACAGAATCCCTTGAGTGAAAACTAATGAATTGTACTTCTTAAAGTTTCTAATTATTGATATATCTGATATATATAGGTATATACACACACACATTGGAAACCTCTTACCATTTACTAGAAAGTCATACTGAATTCCCACTCATTTGTGTTAATGGAATAGAAAAGAAGCAATTATTTCATTATTACATTTTCACTAACAATACACCCTGAAAATAAGACATTAAAAAAAAACAGATTGGACTGACCATTTTAGTGCACATCACAAGTCTTCGAGTAAACTGTCAGTGGCGAACACTCTGAAACCATCTATACAAACACCAGAAAGAAGCAAGGCTTCCAAATTATGTGCTCAATGTCACTGAAGAGCACCACTACACACCCTATGGTTTATTTCTAGTGAAGTTGATGAGTTAGTTTACCGTAATGTTTGAACACAAATCACTGGGTGAAATGGAACACACACAAAAACATCAGGCGACATAAATGCTCCAATTCACTTCAGAGAAATCATATGGCTAGGAAGTGGGCAAAGCAATATTCTCCCAACTGAACGAGACAACAGTAATTACAAAGGAGCAACATGTTTGGGATTCGACACACCCTATTTGTTGCTATCGGCTGGAATCGTTTCACTGTTTTTTCCTGGAAGTGCTACTTTGATCTTTGTAAGAGGAGGCATTGTTTCTAGTGTTACTTATGGTACAACTAATTAAAAGGAACTTAATTTAAAGGTAAACTATTGATGTTCAATAAATCACCTTTAATATAAGATGCCAATATTCAAAAGACATCTAAACAATGAGGTGTGTGGGGTAGGGGGATGGGGCAGTAGGGGAAAAGAAACAAAGGTTAACATTGAAATCCAAATCAATCTCCCATCCCTTTCTGGTGAGGTAGAAAAGGTTGCGAGAATTCAAGGAGAGTCTATATGAATCAAAAAGCTTTTTAAGTCAAAAGGATCACCAAAGTTCCAAGAATCACCATAGTGTGAAAATTTGGATTTAGTATTTTTACGGTCCTTTTACATTCACAGAATTACATTTCTGTGCACGAACATCAGTAACACACTTTGTAGCAATGAAACGAAACACTCAAACCATTCATATTTAATGGTTTCCCAAGCGCTATTGGCCACCTTCAAAATGGGTCATCTTATGGGGCCACCTTCCCAACCATATTTTCAAGCAGATTAAGGGGGGGAGTGGGGGGGGGGGGGGAGGAGGAGAGAAAGTGAAGGAAAATTCACAAACACAACATGCAAACAGTAGTTAAAACAAAACGGTGTTTGTTGAAAAAATACGCATTAATGTTGTCATTTTGGACTCATGCAGCACATGCAATATTGCAAGAATGCAGCCAAAGAATAGGGAGGAGGGAAATATTTATTTCTGCAGAAGTCTGGACTAAAGACAACTTGATGAGTAACAAGCGTTTAGTTCATACAAACCTCCAACATTAAATTGCTATGCCTGATATAAATGTTTTCACCCTCAATTTTCTTTGATCTCTTCTGCGAAACGAAAGAAGGGAAAAAAGAAAAGCACAAAAATTAAAATGTCGTTCTTGTGTGGCATCGCAAATAAGCAACGTAAAAAAAAAAGTGTGTTTTCCAACAAAGAGAAAACCTTATTAGCGCAGCAGAATCTACAGAGGATGATCATGAAATCACAAGAGCACATCCCAGATTTGGTCACCAAATGAAAAAGCAGAATGAGGTATGTGATCATCGGTGAAGGAATGTAATGAGATTAAAGAGGAAAATGATTCTGGCTGGACAAAGACAGCCAACGTAAAAGAGCCTGGGAAATACACAACTAACCTTACGCATTCGCACCACCTCTTCCTCTCCTTCGTTCTGTTGCTGTTTAACAGGTTGGAAAAAAAGAGAGAGATGCTGTTTAGTTACCCATAACTGCGTTACTTCCTAAAGCTTTAAAATACTGGAATCTACACGTCGCAACTGGCTTCATTCCAATACCACAAAAACACAAACCTGCGTTTTTTCGTGCGTCGTGGCAGTTGCTGCTCTGACTTCCGCCTGCTGTGGAATGACCTACATTGACGGAAGGAAACAAATGCGAACCATTTTGGAATCAATAAGTCAGAAACATCACACTTGCAACTGTGCTTTTGTAAGGTTGCAAAAGTTTTTTTTTTTTAAATAGTTTCTTCTTCAATTTCTGACACTCCCCCCCCCCCCCCCCCCCACACACACACACAAACACACGCATGCACTCTCACAAACTGTTCGCTGTAGCAAAGACTGCCACACACCAGGTCACGGCGGGTGTGAATACAAAAAATAGAAATGAGAATAATAATAATAATCCTTGCATTTGATACAGCACCTTTCCACGCCTTCGAGATGTCTCAAAGGGCTTCACAGGATATACTGTAAAGTGTAGCGACTATATATTTTGTGGGCGAAATGCAGCAGCCAATTTCGCACAGCAGAGGGAGGGAATTCAGGCATGATATACACCAGTCACCTGGTAAGTTCACTGAAGAGAATAGTGCTTGAGGATTCAACAACAACTTGCACTTATATAGCGCCCTCCACGCAGGTTAGCATCTCAGAGCGCTTAGACACATGTACAGAGGAGGGAGTTGAGATGAAAAATAGAAACCTTTTAACAGTGAGATCAGTTTGAGTGGTAGATTACAAGACCGATTAGGATGAGACTGGTATGTTTGTCACAGCAAAGTTGGGCTGAGACATTAGACGATGCAACTGGGATATATAAGTAACTGGACTAATTTGGAACGTGATGAAAGGAAATTCTTCAAATAAACAATTTATTAATCAGATTAAGATTAATATCACTAGGTAAAGAGATATCTTTGTTTCTGCTGAGTTGCATTTAACTCTTCACTTCAGCACAGCAATTAGATTTGTGTCCACAGAGGCACTAAATATCCAGCTAGCCACTGGCACAATAAAACCTCTTCATTTATTCCATGTTAAGATCTTTAGATATTGATGGTCTTGAGCGAGGATAGATATTACCAGCTAAAAATAGTGTATCCCAGATTTGCATTTCTACCCTCACCCAATCTGCTCCCAATTCTAAAGAATGCAAAGACCAGTCTCGTCCACAATATGTTATGGCAATTTGCCGAAATTCAAATTACAAGGTTACACGAGACTTTAGTCGCTCAAATCAGATTGGAGTGCAGGATCTACGAGGCCACGAACATAATTTCTCCATGTAACTGCCAATTTCCTAGAGAATGGTTCGATTGAAGCTGGTTAGCAGAGCAAGATAACCTCATAATGGACAGACCCCGGCCCTAACCAATTCATGTCAAATTGTGGAAACTACATTGGGTTCACTACTCAGTAACGATGCATTAGAAGAATTCAAAACAATGTACCTTAACTTCCTGAGTTGGCACCGGTTCTCTTTTTGCGACGATAGTTTCCTCCTGCTTGCCTTCGATCTTCATTTCATCTTTAGCTACTTTTGGGTCAGTGACTTTCATAGTCTGGACCGTCGGTGGGCTGCTGGCTTCTACTGAATGGCTTTGAGATATGGTAGGTGCGGAGGTAGCAGTCGCTGCCTGCGGGCTTTTGTCTGGAGTCTCAACTACTGCAGCTGCAATGAAATGCATCTATATTAGACCTGTTAATGTGTATAGAACTGTTAAGACTACGGCTTAGTACAGTAAAACTTGCATAAGTCTGATCTATGTAAATCGTCATTTGTCTGCTCAAGTACCATTCAAGAGTTTATATTCTAATCAAGTTTGACATAACTCGTACTTTGCAGAAGTCATATTAAATGTATGGTCCCAACTGATAAACGACTTATGTGAGGTTTACAGTATTGCACAGTCATTAGTGAATATGGTGCAAGTGTTAGTTGTCATTATACAAGAGGAAGATTATACATTTAGGTCAACGACTTCCTTCAAAATGAATGTGAATTTGCCCCCGGCAGGAAAGATCACTTGGAAATTCAGATTTCAGAAGCAATCATCAGCTCTGAAAAGTCACCCATCACCCAATTCACATCACCCAATATTGTAGATTCCAAATTATAGAAAGGCACAGAAGGTAAGAGACCAGTTCAAGTAGCAACAGCCGTGCATGCTTCAGTTTGACTGACGTTTATCTTTTGTAAAAAAAAACAATTTGTACACTTGAGCGGCAGTAGAAAAACACATTATCTTCCCCTTCACCCAAATCCATACAAAACGAAATAGCTTCAAGGCCAGCAAGACAACCTGAATTGGGTACCTCTGAATTGTATATTCGTTAAGTGAACCATAAAAATATTGATGAATTCCCAAACCCTCCTTTATAAAAAGGTCAACACTTTTAAGAGAAGGAAGACAATTAGCCCCACAGATTATTGCATCATTGTCATTAAACAGTCAAATTACGGCGCAAAAGAGGAGTAGAGAACCCAAATAAATAAATGAAACAGCAGCTTCATTCTGCCCTGCCATAGATTTATTATTAAATACATGGTCATAACACTTTACTGTACATCGTGTGAATCACTTTTTGATGTCCTCCCTCTAGCTTACTGAAATGCTATCACTGATCTTTCGTGCACCTGTGCCCCACCCACCTGAATGAAGCGCTTTGAGACGTCCTCCCACCTACTATATTAACGTAAATTGTATTTGGTGAAGCAGAACTGCCATCTCCTTCTCATAAAAGCCATGGGAGGACCACAGACAAAAACACTTTAAAAACATGGAATTAGCCAAGCGGTTTGCAGCTTTCAACATTTTCTACTGAATAGACTCACCTTTGCGACTTCTTTTTTTTGCAAGCTTGTTATTGAACATTTTAGCACTTGAAATCACAAAGCACTTTCTCCTATAAATCACTCAATATGTGAATCAATTTCTCACCTTCCAATTTTATCCTCAAATACTTTCTGTGTCATCATTCTGAACAATTTCAAAAGTACATTGTAAATTCTGTTTGGTACCTTCAGTCCTCGAAGCCACAGTATCAAACAACATTAAAAGTACAATTTCATATTATGTTAGCATTAACTTAATAGGATGTTAGGAGTTAATCAGACCAGGTTATTATATTAAATTATATTATAAAACCATCATGACTCCAGGTTAAGTACAGAACTGGTCCATTGAGGAGACCAGTTTGTTTCTAACTGTAATTTCAATCTAAATTATCATGCATAGCAAAATCCAAGACAGATTGAACAGGATAATTTTAAATAGTCAGTTAGTCATTGGAATAGGGCAATAGCTCTTGCAGGAAGGATAGAGTTAGGAAACAGGAAGACGGCAGAGCTATTAAGGCAACAAAGCAGGTACCTGGCAGCTCTCTGAATGCGTCCGTGCATCTGAGTTCAGAGTCCTCTTCCACAGGTATGTCAATGTAAACTTTGGGGAATTTAGGTTTAGCTGAAGAGAATGCGTACATGTTAACTATCATCCATCTGCTCATGCTTGGCATTTTGTTGCAAGTAGAGACTTTGTGGGCAATCATTTGGGGAAATTCCTCAACATGGGGGAAAGTTGCAAAGTAGCTGAATTCATGAGCCTTACAACTCGCACAATGCCTTTAGGTGGCGGTGGATACTTTGTAAAGTGCCCAGGTTATTGGAATCTGTGAATCATTAGTTTGTGAACTAATGAACTGTTTGAAAGCTTTTACTTGATAAAGATGACTTATGGCCCCTCCAACTGGATTACTTTATTTTTTCATCAAAAAGGTTCCGACACTGTTCAAAGCTAAATTCATAACTCTCCTGCCATTCAGTTTATCTTTATACATTTATCCCCTAATTATAATAATCCTTGCATTTGATATAGCGCTTTTCACGTCTTCTAAATGTCTCAAAACGCTTCACAGAATAGACTGTAAAGTGAATTGACTGTATATTTGTGGGTGAAAATGCGGCAGCCAATTGCGCACAGCAGTGTCCCACTAACAGTCGTGGATTGAAGTGACCAATTTATTATTGTTTTTTTTTCTTGAGGGATTATTATCAGGCGTGTGGAGTAAGGAAACTTGACCAAGGTTTCACCCTGCCAGGTCTCTCACTTGCAAAGCGAGTGCTCTAACCACTGAGCTTCCAATTATGGAACCACAAGAATGAAAATGAATGCTGTCCTCTCTACTTTCAGGCCTTGTACAGAATATTCAGCTTCAGACTCATTAAACACAGTAACATTGCTCTCAGGGAAACAGGCTAACCTTTAAGGAATACATTCCAATGGTACCAATCTTTGAAGCAAGCATTCACTTCCATTGCTAGGTAGACATCAAGTCTATTTCAAGTCCATGTCAGGTCTCTGTCAATGTAGCAGTTTAAACCAAACATTAAAGTTATTTTGCTAGCTACCCGCATTCAATTCTGGCTGTCGTCCCAATTATACCAAGTGATTACAAAATCTTTTTGCAGCTGTAACAATGCTTGATTGTGTGGCATTCCTTGGACGAGTGTAAACTTTCCTGCAAACATTGTTACCGTGAACAGGTAAATCAAATCATAGAATCATACAGCACAGAAGGAGGCCATTCAGCCCATCATGTCTATGCCGGCTCTTTGAAAACAGCTACCCAATTCAATCCCATTCCCCCACTCTCTCCCTATAGCCCTGCAAACTTGTCCTCCCCAAATAATTATCTGGAGTGAAAGAGTAAATTGAACTGAACAGGCACGGTCCTCTCAACGTCTTACCAAAATTGCGCAGTGTCAACTTAGGAGTCTGATGTCCCAGAAATAAGAATTTACAAGACTCTATAAAATGCAAGTTTAAAAAAAAGTGTAAAATCCTAGTGTGAAGATTACAGGTTGACGTCTGTGGGGAAAAGATTTAAGGCACTAAAATTGGCCTCAAAGGGTTCAACACACTGCAGATTATTGATCAAATGGCTTACATTTGGAAGGAGGACATTTAAGAGAATTCCACCTTGAATAATAGGATCATAAAATGTTACAACACACAGACAGACAACTTGGCTCATCAAGTCTGCACTGGTGCTTTCCTCCGCATCAGCTAAAATAATCTCACCTCCTTGCTCGCCCTCCCGGGGACATTTATTATTATTCTTTTCCAAGCATTTGTCAAATTCCCGTGCAGACATTTTTTTTTCTAACCTCCCTGTCGTGTTACTGCAAGGCAGGATTTGTAACATCGGATAATCTTACCTCCATCGAGGCTTCTGGATGCCCGTTTACTTGCGGTGCGCTCAAAGCGGGGAGCCGGTCTGTCAATGAGAGCGCTTGCTTCCCTGGTCTGTGCCTGTGTTCGACCACTGTAGCGGAATTTGGAACCTAGAGATGGGAATTTGCTTTTTGGCGTGCCTTCTGGTGTCGTTAGCCTTTTTTTTGGGGGGGGGGGGGGAGGAAAAAATGCAGCACTGAGCAAAGGCTTGAAGAATACTTTCCAAATTGGTATAATAAAATAATAATCCATTCATTTGATACAGCGCCTTATCACGTCATTTGAGACGTCTGAAAGCGCTTCACTGAATATATTGTGAAGTGGACTGACTGTGTATTTTGTGGGCGAAACGCGGCAGCCAATTGCCCCACAAATAGTCGGGGATTGAGTGACCAAAAGAAACCTACAGCTGAAAGAATTCCAATACATTTGTCTTTAGATAGTATCGAAAGCGCTACAAGATTGAACGTTTTCTGTCCGAGCATCCTGATGTTGCCTGTACGCAGTCGTGTTCCCTACCTGAAGAACGTATGATGTTCCACACAGACCTTCCACAATTTTTTGGCAGCACGGTAATTAGGCAACTTGAAACCAACAGTGCTTTCACACTGATCCTGTTTTTAAAAAAAAACACACACACAAGCATTTTAACCAACAGGCTGGTGTTTCCCAAGCAACAGGAAAACATTAAATCACGCTGATAATTCCTCAGTGGATCAGTATGAATACTCGGAAGCATGGTGTTGGGTTTCTGTGAGGGTCCGTAAAACCAGACCCCACATTATAACTGGGTATATTTTTAAAAATGGCCACCAGTCAATGCTTCTGGATCATCAATGCTGCTGACCTCAGTTCATAGGAAACCAGGCAGTTAGTAGCGGAAGCCAGAAATATAGAGCCCTCCTGCCATACCACAGGTCCGGGGTGTGACCGCACTATAGAGGGACCCGCCAATAATTACCTCACAAGCAAATAAAAATGGCTTTACCATTGCCCACCGCAAGGTGGTGCCATACACTCGGCTTCTACCAATTCCCAAACCAGCTGCGTTTCAAGAATTTAAGCATCACCATCCATCCGCAATTTAACCCAATCCTCACAAGGCTAACATTGTGACAAAACAGGGCATGCCGTCTACTTGAACTTGAGCGGGAAGTGTGATTAGAAAACGTATCTAACAAAACCAAACTGGTTTCGCTGCTAGAATAATCCATGTCACAGTCAACTGTGGTTGAATATCAGTCGCTGTCCCTTTAATCCTTGGCTTTCTCACCTCTCTGTTGGAGAAGACAAGGTTGCTAGAAACAGGAGTGGCTTAGGGTAAAAAGGGAATGGCATTCTGTGTCCTTAGCACCCAGAGTAAGTGACTTTGCCACTTTCATAGGTTATACATTTTGTTTTATTTATTACATTTATGTTGCAATGAGAAGGTGGATAAAACTACTCCAGTCCCATAAAAAGCAGCCAAGAATCTACATCATTGACGTTCCCGTAACTCTCAATAGAGAGGGCATTGTTGCCCCTGTGCTTAAATAATACATTATTTTTGGTGACTGTTTCTCTGCAGGCCACAAATAGAAGAGTAAACTGGAGGTTTCAAACAGAGGCCAGTTTTCAATGTCACAATATTCACAAAAAAAGCACAGCAAAAAAACAAACGATCAACTGTTGAAGGTTAAACGCAAAAGAATGTAAAAGGGTTTTGAGTGTAGCTAAGGTTTCACTATATTGACAGTACTTTTTAACTGTTCCTTTACCAGGTTAACTAGACTTGCCCTGTGAGCACTGTGTCGCGCAGTGCAATTGGTTGTTATTCTTGCCAAGGAATTTTTCTAGTTTCAATTAAAATTAAAAGTTAAAAATATTTAAAATATTTAATTAGAAATTAAATACTTTCAGTTTCAAAATTAATAATTACCTCCTTTTTGACTGCGCCTTCAGTCACTCTCCTACCCCTACCCTCCACCCCCACCTCTTGATCTGAACTCGAGTCCAAATCCCTGACTGTCCAGCGTCTTGGGACATCCTCCTGACTTGAAAGGCGCTATACAAATGTAATTTGTTGTTGTTAAAAAACAGCAAATCTAGAACAGATCATCATGGCTGTCATGGGAAAGGTAACAAAGTGTTTCGCAAAACAAAAAGAATTATTGCACAAACATCAGGAAGCACTTGTTTAATTTCCAGTAAGCCTGTGCATGTGGTTGAAAAGGTTACATAAACACTTTTCCAAAAACAACCTTCTATATTTACAACTTGACTTCCAAGCTTCCTTCTGGATCTAAAGAACAAGAAATGCCATACCTCTCCTGGACGAATCTTAATGAAGAAACTGCTTCGTTTGTAGGAAATTTTGAGAACCTTAGGCCAGGCAAAGCGATTGATTCGAAGTCTGTCTTTGTATACAAGGAGACCGCCAGAACAAACTCCTAACATGATGTCCACTCCCTCTAGATCCTAGATGGAACGGCAAAAGAATATGAATAATCATAAAATAATCCCTGTATCTGAAATAGTGCCTCATCACATCGACAAAACATCTCAAACCAGTGAAGAACTAGCTGTGGGAACCAGTGGAAGTGCATAGGGACAATTGAGTAAAAGTGAACTGTCAAGCAGTCAGGATATTACACAAATAATAATATAACAGTAGTAATAATCTTTGCATTTGAGACCCCTCAAAGCGCTTCACAGAATATATTGTAAAGTGAATTGACTGTGTATTTTGTGGCCAAAACTATACACGAGTAAGGCACGGTTGCTGAACGCATGTTAGTTGGTGGTTAGGTTATCATTCTGGTAAATGTGGGAAATAAGAAATCAACGAGCCAATATTTGTCAGTCCATCAAAAGCACAAACCAGCTACATGTCAAACAGATCGAAATTTGTGATAAACCAACATTAATTTGATATAAAACAGAAGCATTTTGTACTATACAATTTAGTAAGCCAATAATAATCACAACGAATGTCTCAAAGTGCTGGTTAAAATAAACTCTAAAATTTATATTGGTACTGTACAGAATTTCCCAGAAGACGTCAATTCTTACCCAGCTATCTGACCCTGTTCACATTTATCATACCCTAATTACTTAAAGTGCTTTCACATCCAATTAATACAGCTACGCACGAAGGAAATGTGCATTAGTTACAGCCGCTGTGGAAGAAGAATGCGTCATAAATGCATTTTGGCCACAAGTGAATAAAGGTTCTTTCGAGTGCTATTAGGCCCCTTAAATCATCTGATACAGCATTGGAGCTCCTAGCGCTGTACCACAAACAAAAAACAACAAACAGGATCTTTTCCATCTTTATGGCCTATGATCCTCGTCATTGCTGGATATACTAAAAACAAAAAAGTGCAAAGAGATGTTCCACGGTGAATTTGATCACACAAACGATTCCTTATCAGCTTTAAAATGCTTATGTACCAACACAACACAACAAACAGACAGGGAACAAAAAAAAGGTTTAAGAATTGAAGTTGGTCTCTGGTTCAAATCAACATGATATCCAATTGCATCTGAGTGACAATTTAGTGTTACTTCACTCTTGTTGCATATCAAATTATAAAGTTTACAGAATTATATTGGTAGGAATGGGGGGCGGGGAAGAGAGGGAGGGGAACAAAATGCTCCCTCAACAAAAAAAAACCATCATTAAAGTAATTTTAAAGTCAGAAGGTTGGTTTGGGGGGCTTTAAGCCCCGCATCGGGGCTTTGAGTTCGCAGTTTAGGCTAATGCTCCAGTACACTGCTAAGTTGTCGGAAGTGTTGTTCTTCAGATAAGATGATTATGAAAGTAAAGGAATCCACTGTTTTAACTCATACATTACATTACCATTCAAGCCAGTGAAAGTGGAACAGCGAGGGTGAATTGTTACACCTGGTTCAAGAATCAAAGGGAACAGATGGTGTACCTTTGCAGGGTGAAAATCCACACCGTACATTGAAAGCTTCTTGGCATTCTCTAAGAACTGCAGATCTGCCTGTGCTGGAGTCATAGCCCTGGGAAGAAATAAAATTAAATGAATTATAACCAAAGCCATTTCTGATGTATGATAATGGGCATGTTCACAACTACGGCTGTATCTGCTTATGATTCAAAAGAGGAGGAACGTCATACTTGTTGTGCTATACCTAAAGGGAATACAATAATAATAATAAGCTTTGCATTTGATACAGCGCCTTTCATGTTGGGAGCACGTTTCAAAACCAAGCACTTCACAGGATAGACTGTAAAGTGTAGCGAATGTACATTTTGTAGGCGAACATGGGTGGGAGGGGACAAATTGGTTCACAAAGATTTTTGCAGCTGATACAATGCAAAACTTACATCAATAATTTTTGTTCAATTACCCGATAAAGAAGTTGTGTGAGGCCAGTGCAATCCACTTTTTATTCTGAACACATACCTATGCGTTTTATGAAGCTCCATAATCTTCTCTTCCAGTTCTTTCGTCTGGTTCGGGGCCAGTTTGAATTCACTGAGGTAATTTGTTCCGTGTACCTCTGGATCGTATTCCCCCAGTTCAGACTGAATAGTATATGAACCCAAAAGGGCCAGAGTAACAAAGGAACATGGCAGACATAAGGTCACTATGTCCTGGCGGAGCTGAAGACACAAGTAATACCTAGAACGAACACAAATTGGTAAGCAATCAGGCAGGTGAGACATTGGTTTAATACAACTTCAAAGTCAGGATCTGGAGCTTGACTCAGAGGCGAGAGTGCTATCAATTGAACAAGGCTGACATCTAATTAACACGGAATTTAAGAACTTTTTTTTAGATCTGTGCACAATCTTAATATTTGAAGCTAAAATGGTTTCATGATTAAGATCAGGACACGTTTAGGTCAAGTATAGCCTCTCCTTAATAAAATACTAAGGATAATATCAATAATAATATTCCTTGTATTTGATGCAGTAGCCTGAAAGGTTGAACCCTCTGACAAAAACATTTGAACACATGAGTTAAAACGTAACTTCAGCGACTGAGTAATTTTAGATGATACAAGTATTGACAGCAGACAATGATTAACTGAGCAAACATCATGATGTGTGTGTCTTAAACACCTCAAAACCTACTGACACAATTGCACCACTACAATTTGGACTCGGGTAAAGCTGTATTTATTGTCAGATTAGTAATAATAATAATCCTTGCATTTGATATAGCACCTTATCATGTCTTTGTGAAGTCTCAAAGTGCTTCAAAGTGAATTGACTGTGTCTTTTGTGAGCAAAACAAGTAAATTGAAATTAGGACATTTGCTTAGGTAGTATCTACAACCGAGAATCAAAACATTTAGAGTAGCTCAACCTAGGCAGATAATTGTTTGGCTGGAAATTGTGTTCCAGGAAATGCATAAGCTTCAATGGAAAATTGGCTTTTACCTGGTTATATCTTCAGTCAGCTGCGCAGGGTCAGGTGGGTAAAACTTCACATTGAATATAAAATCCCAAGGTCCTCCTGGAGAGCAAAATATCATTATTACTTATTCAGCCAGCGGATTCCCTTGGGTTAAAATGAAGCAATAGATTTCTGCAAATGAAGCTAAGCAATCTTTGCTTTTCATTCTCAAAAAAGGATTGGGACACTGATATAATAACACTAGTACAATGATCATCATTGCAATTCATATAGAACCTTTCACATCAGGTAGACGTCTCAAAACACTTCACAGGAGTTACTGTAAAGTGCAGTGACTATATTTGGTGGGTTTTGGTAACAATAATTGGAATAAATTCTTCAAACCCAGAAGGCTCCTGATATAGATTTGCTGTTTTTTTTATAAAGGAGGGTTGTTGGGGAGAGCGTTATTGTATAAAATTAGAATCTCACATTCCCTCAATAACATCTGTGCACATTTCACAGATTCCCAATGATGTAGAGACGTGAACACAGGTTCCATAAACGTTTTCTATCCGCGGGGTCTTGGATTTAGGGGATTCTCATTATCAAGACCCCTATCTGCAAGCAGCCATTAATTCCATGGAATCGAGTTTATCGTTCTCTTGTAACTGAAGACAGCCACCTCCCAAGTGTTTAGATGATTCACTGTGGTGGCTTGAGGAAATGGGCAACACAAAAGGAGGAACCTCCAAATCACAGGACTGCACTCCAAGTTCCCAGTTTGTAGACATTCCTTCCCAACAGGTCAAACAACACAAATCCACCTAAACCAAACAAGTATTGGAAGCAAAACATCTTGGATGATTGTCTGCATGGCACTAAACACAGACTGAGGTAGAAATTGATTTATTTACCACTGAGTGTACATGCACTGATGGCATATCATAGGGTTTGTATGATCACATACAGTTCCTGGCACAGGATTTATGTAAGTTCATGTAAATTTCACCAAAATCAATACAAGCAAATTGCCATGTGGACGTTTTCATGGATATCTGAGCAATATTTTGAAAAAAAACTTGCTTCAAATTTGCAAACTGATCCCGATTTAGACAAACCAACTCTTGCAAGTTTTGGAATACATCAGAAAAGACCAATTCAGTTTTTTCTCGAAACTGGAAGTTTCTTACCTTGTACCTGCTTCTTAATCTCTTTGGTGAGGTCCAACCAGATCTGAAATCATTAAAGGAAAGTGAAGATTAAATGTTTGCCATTGTATTAGATGCATCTCCCAAGAGAACAATCATGTATAAATTCATTAATCTACAATTATAATTATTAAAATCGTGATGCAAACAAGCACTGATATATTCCTTCCATAATAGGAAGGATTAAGCACGCCGGAACGCTAACCCCACGTGAAGGACGCTACTTAAATGCAAGTTATTGTTGATAACTGGAATACAGTGTTCAACTTAAAGCTTCTAAGTTTACAGTCTTTTTATAAAAATAATCTCAAGTCAATTTTAGGAAGGCTTTTTGTTAAGTGAGTAACTGTTTATCTTTATTACAGTGGAAGTCCATTACATGAACACAATGTTGATAAAGAAAACGGGTTTATTGAACCAGACCTGCCCACAACCAAACTGCACATTTCAAGTTGGCAAAAAAATTGTAAGCAGATTGATGAAGTTGCCAAATATCAATTTTAAAATCAGGATTCGCATGAGCATTGGGATGATTGATTGTAGGATATTTTTAGCTTTCTTTTTTTTCTTTGACTTTGCTGATTTTCAACCAAACTGCCTGCTCTGAGGGTATCAAACTGTATGGTTTAGGATAGGGATTAACCCACAGATTATACTTCTTAAAAAATGTACATTTTGAAGAAAAAGTAGCAGTAGCCTCATAATCAGTGATTGTGTTTTCTAATCTCTCATCTCACTGAAGGTTGTTAATTTTTGACCTCCAGTACAGCACTCACACTCCTAGTCGAGCACCCTGTTTTCATATTTATTAAACTAATCCTTGCATCTGATATCACGCTTTCACATTGGGAAGGTGTCTCAAATCACTTCACGGAATTCATTGTAGTGTAGTGGCTTGTATTTGTAGGCGAATGCAGTTTTAAGCTTCATTTTTCTTCTGGCAAGTCTGACACATGCAGAAACCCATTACTGTGTTTAAGAGTATCCAAAACCAGACAGAATTCGACTCTTGCCACCTGTACATGAAAATTCCCATGTGTGGGTGTCAAGTATGAGTTTCTATTTGGTTCGGATACTTTCCTTGGAGAATAGCTCTTGTTTTGACATCTCAAATATGGATAGTTATTTTAACACCTTGCTGAACGTACCATATTTACAAAAGTATAGAGAAACGTCAATGCTGGTATTCCTCTTGTGACAAGCAACTGCTCCAAACCAGCTTTGGCTAAAAGGCTCATGATGCAGTCACCCATTCAGATCGCATTCTGTTGTCCAATCCCAGAGACAGCGTGAAGCGTTCAGTAATTAATAGCCCTTTTATCCTGACCTGCTTAATGAGCCGCAGACACAATTCAGCCTTTCAGTCTGCTATAAACCAGAAATCTAAACTAAATCAGCTCTAAAGGGTTCACTCATGTTTTCCCTCACTGCTGAATACTCTGGGAAATTTGCACATCATTAAGACACACACAGAATGGTTTAATCTTTTCACTCAAGGCCCTTGAATTTTTTTAAAAAGGAAAATAAAGACTCCTTTATAGTTAATAGTAAATGTTAAGACTACAAAAGATTGGCACTTCAACACGAGGATATGTGCCACGCAGCAATGCATTATAGTAACTGTTCTGCAATAGTAATCATTCATTTCTAATTCATAAAGTTTACACAAACAATCCATACACATCTCTATGCACAAACCGCCCATACAAATATACATACAACAACTTGCACTTGTATAGCGCCCACCTAGGGTTGCGTCTCAGAGCACACATGCATGACTTGTATCATGTTAAACAAGTACATATAATACCCAACTGGTCCTAAAATTCACTAGCACTCTACATAATAATGTATGCTGAACCTTCTCACATATACAGTTAACAATTTAGTACACTCTTATCAATTCTGAACAATTCAGTTTAATTTGTCTAATTCAGTTTAATTTGTTTAATATTTTTGAGACCACAGACATTTTTCTAATGGAATAATCTCTCTATAATGTGCAGTTTTTAATTTAATACACACTAAAGAGCTTTTGTTTACCCTGATCACTTCAGTCTGCAATTTAAAGATACTGAACCAAATGTTCCAAAGTAAAAACATTGGCAGGGTGTCAGTATACTGCAGGATTTTCTCCCACTTCACAATTTTAAACTTTAAAATTACCATTTCTAAATCACATCACACTGTAATGGTTTTGGCAGCATTTCAGGTCCTTCCTTATTATGCTGTGTCCAAATTGGCTCCTGTGTTCACCCACAAAATCACACACAGACACTGTGAAGCACTTTGGGACGTCCTCCAGACGTGAAAGACACTATACCAAATGTAAGAATTATTATTATTAAGTGGAATTACAGACAGACGTTAAAAATCTGAATTTATCCTCACAAATTAATATTTGTATTCAAGTATTCAATACTGCTTTTACCCGCCCTATAATTAAAAGGAGGACTTAACACTGAGCTCAATAAGGTCAATAAATGGGAGCTGGCCCTGTCATGTGGGCGAGATGACAAAAATCCCAGTAAGGTTCATATGATGATGTAAATACTAAGAGCAAACTTGTTGCTGTTCACAACCCAACATAAGAATCCTGAGATGAGATTCCAACCCTTTATGTAAAGAATGGAGGCAGCAGTTTTTTTTAGTGGTCGAGGCACTGGCTTCATCACAAAATATTGCTACACTGATGTACAATGACCTGCAGCTTGAAGGATAGGCAAATCGCTGCACTTTTAAAGCAAAATGGACAGTGGTTTGCACACATACATATACATTACATGAACAGCTTTGCTTCAAAGGAATCACACTAAATATTGACTTACTCTCTGGTTTGACGAATCCCAAATGGCCAACCCGAAGTAGTCTTTCTCCAGAAGATTAAGGTGATCGCACACTTTAGTGAAGAGCTCATGGCCCTTGGAATGTTTCTGTAATGAAAAACAGACCACATTGAAGAACAACAAGGTTTTGCAACTGAATGTTGGAGTGTCACTTCTGTGTTAAATCTCTCCGATTGTTGCCAACGGCCAACTTCCTAACTATGAAGATCGTTAGTAGGAAGCAGCAAACAGGAAACCAAGCTATGATATTAGTTAGAAAATCTGTGTCAGCCCAGAGCTTTCTTATACAATTAAATTGCTGATTAAAGAATCTCCTAAAACATTTGGATGCAAATTGCCTTCCCATTTTCTCGGAGGGGTGGCTCATAAAAAAAATCAAACTGCAAAAACTAGGATTAAACAGTTAGATATTACTGCTCGATCTTTGTGCACTTGCAATTGTTGGTCAGGTATCCTTAAGCGTTTAGAGTTGTCATAGCTAGGTAGATGATTAGAATATCTCATGAGCACACAGGGAGAGTTTTAAGATTAGAGAGTCAAGATTCTCACCTCGACTTCACATTCAAATTCGGCTTCATCCAGCAAAGTCACCTTGCAACGCATGGTCCTGGATTTTTTGGCAACTTTAGGAAGCGATTTCAAATCCTGACCTTTGTTTTCCTGCTCAGGACTTTTGGCTTCCTTCTTTTCGAGGATTTCTCCCTTTATTTCTTCTTTAATTTCTGGAATGGAGTCGTCTCGCTTTTCCTCTTGAGCAGGCTGCCAGACAGAATCCAAAACACATTCAATGCCATTGATGCTCAAGACTTTACCGCACACATAACCGTTACATTCTGGCCGAGTTGGACCCTTCATTGATTCCCAGTGCTAACTTGGTGCCGTGAATCTTTCCATGTTACATGTTTCAGATGCGCCAAGGCAGTAGAACAAGCGGACACGGGTTTAGAGACGTGAAGGATAATTTCAGGACAGATATCAGGAAATGTTTCTAGCAACATAGGAACAGGAGAAGGCCATCCAACCCCTCAAGCCTGTTCCACCATTCTGTAAGATCATGGCTCATCTGTACTTCAACTTCAATTACTTGCCCTTGCCCCAAATCCCTTGATACCCTTTTCTATCAAAATATCTATGAATCTTTCTTTACCCAGAAGACTCATTTAAGAAACAACTTGATACTGTGACAGGAGGATGAGATCAAAATGGTTGAAGGACCTTCTTTATCTGAACCAAACTTACAATCTTGTAATACAGAAAAAAAACCTCCTAATTGTTAAGTGTAAGATCAAACGAGAGGTTCGATGAAGAACCAAAATACCTCCTATTACATCATCAAACTGAGCGATCTCACTGCGTTTCATTTAGAATTCAGCATACTAAATCTTGGGAGCAGAAAAAGAGTTCTGCCTCAATGTAGAGACATTAATGTTAAGATCTGCAAAATTGGCTCAGCACAGTAAAGAATTAAAACTGCTGCTATATTTAAGGGATGGGAAGATTTGATAAAAAAGGACCTGGGACTAAATTAAATATCAGGACTCTTGATATGACTATTAGACTGACGTCATCAGGCTTAGTCATTAGTCCATGGCAGCCCAAAAGATGATTTGTGCACCTTAGTCCTTCATCTTAACTGCATCATTAATAAAGGACAGGTGGGTCATTCACAGTATCTTGAATGGTGAATTCCAGTACTGTTTTGGGGTTGCTGCAAGAACCCATGTCCTCTCGTTGGGTACTTTCTTAACAGAACATCTGTTCTTGGGAATGCCTTTAAGCCGCAATTTTAGAGCCTATAAACATGGGAAGAAGGAACCTTCCAGACCCATCAGCAAATATACACATCTGTTATCCATTTGAACAATATTTAGGATTACGTAACAATTCAGAGGGAAAGTTGTACTCTAAATTGTCACAATCAATCAATTAGTGCGAGGCATTAATTCAAACCTATTTAAATGCTCCACGTCTATTTGTTATGTCAGATTCGCTTTGTGCATTGGATTATCATAGGCTGTCACACTAAATCTGATCAAAACTGAGACTTTTTGCAAGAAGTTGCTGTATAAGATATATTATTATTTATATTATTATAATGAACACACACACATACACATAGAGCTTAAATGGAACTAACCAGTTGATTTCAATAAATTAGTATAACGAGAACAATTACAAAGTGCTTTGAGACGTCCTCCAGACGTGAAAGGCGCTGTACCAAATGCAAGGATTATTATTAAAGACTGTTCCAGGTACTAACAAGACACCACTGACAAGACAAAATCATGATCTATTCATTCATTCATTACCCTCTTCAGCTAACTTTGCACAGATTATTACACAAGTTATTTCTAAAGCCACAGAATTCTTCTGGTGTTGGCAAGATCAAAAGATGCAAATTGTTCCCTAAAGCAAACAGTGGATTATTCCCACCACGCCCGCCACGTCACTTGTCCAAAAGAATTCATTACCTGCGTTTCAGCACTGCTCAACGAATGTATGTCCGAATTGCCCTCAATTTCGATCTTATCATCCGACTCCTGGTCAGCTGTGGGTGCTCTTATTTCAATCAGTTCTATGTCCTCTTCCTCAGTCTGATTGACTGAATTGAGCAGCCCGCGCTTCCCTGCTGCTGTGTCTTCCTCCGAGGAAGCTGCCCCGGTCTCTTTCCCACTCTCCTCTTCCGACACCTGAGATCTTGGCCTCTTGAGCCAGGCTGGTAAGAAACGCGACAATCCTTGCTGCCCGAAGACTGCTCCTTCTCAGCCTCTCCTGGGTGGGCTAGGCCACCGTTGGCGGGCGTTGTGGTGTCCTGTTCCTGGTCCTGCCCAGCACGTTTGTCACCGACCTCGGCCACCGGCTGACTTCCCTCCGGCTGAGTTTCCTGCTCCTCCGAGTCACCAGGCTCTCGCTCCTCTGAAGCCGACTGCTGCTGCTGGTGAATTTCAATCGCAGCGCTCGAGCTGACTTCTGTCGTCATGATGAAGCTACATTAAAAATAAATTTGAAAAAGGTCACATTCCTCCTCCTCCGAAGATCTGAGAAATCTTTGCAACTGAAGAGAATTGGTTTGTTCTGCATTCCTTATTGTTTTGATGTTCCACGCTCTCCACAAGCGCGCAAAGCCATTCCACTGATTTCAAACTCAAATCAAATTACGTTCTCATACTCTGAAAGCATTCCACATAGGCACGTGTACAAAACTACATCTGCCATCCGCTACCCCACCTCATCCTGCGTGCACAAGAAACTGTAAATACAGTCAGTACACTTAATAAGTACTCCAGCACGTTTCGAGACGGTGCAATGTGATAAGGTGTTATATCAAACGCAAGAATCGATTAGTAAAAGTATTTTTAAATCTTATTTCCTGCATTACATGGAAAAGGACGTTAGCATGCCAAAGGTTAAAGACTTTCTTAACCATACCCAATGAGGTATTTTTTTCACCCTGAAGAAACTGCCACGTTTAACCGTTTTGCATAGCAAGCATATAGCAACAACCACAAATTACATTTGTATAGCGCCTTTCGCTTGTATAGCGCCAAGGCACTGGACGTCCAAGGCAACCCACTCTTCAATGGCAATGTAGCTGAAATTTACAGTGGCCTGCAAATCTTTCCACTTCATAAATCAAAAGCTACAATTGAAATAAAGTTACTTGCAAAATTCTTTGGCACACATCAAGTGCCGAATAAAATTCGCTGCTACGATATTAAACCAGTCCCATCTACGAGAGCCCAGTTATGTCCTCCCTACTGTGGACCATTTGTGTAACTACTGTATTGCATGTTCTCTAGATTGAGGCCCTTGTAAACTGCCCCCATTTTAATCGTGTGTTCGTGCCTATTCCTGAAACATCTGCTGAATTGGCTAAGAAATTGTATTTAGCGCTATAATGTGCAAAACAAAGAAACATTATGGTTGCTAGACATAAATCCTGAGCTGAAGTCCACATTTCCAATAAACTACATGCGTCACAGGGCTACGGCAATAATCCAATACAACAGACCGAGATTGATAAAAAAGGCAGAGTTGAACACAAATTGCAGTAGGGCTCCGTTCCTTTAATAATAATCCTTGCATTTGATACAGCCCTTTGCACATCTTCGAGATGTCTCAAAGTGCTTCAGAATATACTGTAAAGTGAAATGACTGTATATTTTGTGGGCGAAACGCGGCAGCCAATTGCGTACAGGCAGCGTCGCCACAAACAGTCCTGGATTGAGTGACCGATGTTTTTTAAAAAAGGGTTTATTAACCCCCGGAAAAGTGATCCGGCAATCAACTAACAACCAGATTGCTACTTGCTGCTAAATAAACAGAGGAGGGTGGAGTAAGGAAATTTACCTAAGGCTTCGCCCTGCCCGGGAATTGAACCTAAGTCCTCTCGCTTGAGAGGTGAGCTCTCCAACCAGTACGCTGCAGGACTCCACATTAAGATCCCAACCAGCATTATAACAGGGCGTGATCGCCGAATAGCAATTCTGCACTCGTAGCTGGCAGACTTCGCGTTTTCCTGCTAAAATAAATGGCCAACTTCCGGGTCAATTCAAGCATGTTGTGACACGGTTCCACTGTAAGGAAGGAACTGGGAAATAGGAACGGTTTGCACACACACAAATGGCTAAATTGCAACCCACAAACTTCACTGTAAAAAAAAATGAGAAAGAAACGATCAGAGAAAAATAGCGAGAAACGTTACAATACAAACACTTTTTTGAAAGTTTGCAGCTGCACTCCACTGCATAGAAACAATTGTCACTTACACACTATCTCAACAGGAAACACCATGCAGTCAGTTGTCATCTGCACAGTGATAAGAATTCCCTCAAGAGAACGCCTGAAACCGTCAAAGTTAATAAACTCGGAACAATACTTTCAGATGCAGTGAGAGAGCAGAACAAGAGGACACAGTTTTAGGTTTGCAAAGAGCAATTACAGCACAGACCCCAAAAAGGATTTCTTTACCAAGAAGGTGATTACCAACTGGAACAGGGTTTCGAGGATGGTTGGTTGAGGCCAGGATACTGACTCATTTTTTTTAAAAAAACAGCTTAACGTTGCGACATCGATGAGCTGTTTCGAAGCACTTCACAGGTTTCCAACTGTAAAGTGCAGTGACTGTGTATTTTGTAGGCGAACCGCTGCAGCATTTTGCACACGTCCTGCAAACAGCCGGCCGTGAAAGATGCCCGGTACTCGATTAGAGTTTACTGAGCCGTGCATTGGATGACACATTAGAGCAGGACATTTTAGGACCCAAGAACTCCGCCCTGCCTGTTTGCTCGGAACAAAAACACGTCGCTGCTAACACAATGACTAACTCGGCGGGAGGGGATGGAGAGGGGAAAACAGAAAGAAAAATGAGAGGCAGCAAAGCAAGCATTTCAGGTGATGCTGAAGGTCAGCTCAGCTGAAACTGTTCTTATATTGCATTATTCCTGCCATACTCATGCTTTGCCAATCAGACTGCAACAGTTTAAAATGGGCGCAAATTTATCTTTGAAAGCTGTTTGGTGTGTCGGCGCTCGCCTACAAAAACGCACAGTCACTTCACTCCGCAGTCAATCCGGTGAAGGCTTTTGAAACTATGTTCCTGTGAAACGTTTCGATGACGTGATAAAGCGCTACATCAAATGCAAGGATTACTATGTGGTGACTTATAAGATTTCTACAGACTAGCAGCTGTGTCTAACTCTTCAAAGATTATGAGAGCTCTGCAGCTGGAGGAGATTCATCAGTCAATTGAGCTGTGCGCGTTTCGCCCACAAAATATACAGTATATTCTGTGAAGCGCTTTGAGACGTCTCCAAGATGTGATAAAGGCGATATATCAAATGCAAGGATTATAATTATTATTATTAGCTCAGACGGATCACTGAACTGAACCAAGAATCTTTCACATGTAGGGTTGGGGAATCTTCCTCTGCGCAGGAGTTAAGGTATCTGTTGCTAAACATATTCCTTGGTTCACTTCCTCCTATTGGCTCGGCCCTGTGAAGCGCTGTGAGATGTTCTGACAATGAGATAAGGCACTGTATCAAATCCAAGGATTATTATTGTTTTGTAATGCATCATATGTTAGTCCAGGACTTTACCAGAAGTGCACAATAACACATCTTCGGCACCAACCCTATTATTTTCTTCATACTAAAATAAGGTCAAAAGTCATAGAATGGAGAAATAACAGTAATAATCCTTGCATCCTTGCACCTTATCACGTCTTCGAAGCATTTCAAAGCATGTCACAGAATATGCTGTGAAATGAATTAACTGTATGTTTTGTGGATGAAATAGGCGAGAAAGATTTAGTCTGCTGTCCTTGGCTCATTTTTCAAACAGTTAAAAAGCAGAAGCTAAGCACAGAGTTTACATATGGACACAAGTCAAATTAACAACTATATTTTTTAGAGGAAGTTTACTTTACTCCACATTCTCAATCAGTAACACCAATCTCCCATTTAACCTGTTACGAACCAAACCTGCGACGATACATTATTAAACAAAGGATTCTCAGAAGTCTGTGGTAAGAGAATGTATGAGACAAAGTTACTGCAGTTTCTTCACCAATGTTGCATCCAATGGCTGAAAATCCAAAGCACTGTAAAGTCCATCTTTGAGCCTAACATGATATGTAGACGGGGGTGGGGAGGGGTGGGAACGAGACAGCATGGAGAGTGATGGGAAAAGAGGTAGCAGAGGGAGGTATGAGTCAATCCCACCCCACGCCTCTTCACGTTGTCTCATTCGAGGCAGTGCAGAAGAGAGGTGCGGCCAGGAGGTAAACAACAAAGTCAAAAATGGTTCGCGGCCCGCTTGAGATTACCCCCACCCCCACCCCGGGCCGGATGTGGCCCGTGGGCCGCCAGTAGGACCGCCCTCTTGTAATAATTACCCTCTCTGTCTCAGCAGGTGGTTGGTGGTAATGTGAACTGTAAGACCCCTTCTGCAATATTGTACCAGCGCACCATAATTCCCCATTAATTGTTAACATCCGGTGCAAGTATCTTTCGGGGCTTTATTCTTTAAATAAAGACTTGACTAGGATCTGAACAAAAACATTGGACAAGTCAACGTCAGACAGTGCATCACAGTAGAAGGTCTCCCTGGGGTTCAACCGGCTCAGAAGAGACGCATCTGGCAGAGCCAGGTAGGTCTGCAGTAATCAACAGCACAGTTCACCAACCTGTCTGAGACTGTGAGGTACAGACGTGTGCTCATTCCTGAGAGCCCAAACTGCAGAGTTATAATTACATTTAAACGAGTACCACTTGTTTCGCCCACAAAATATACAGTCAATTCACTTTACAGTATTTTCTGCGAAGCGCTCTGGGACATCTCGAAGATGTGATAAGGCGCTATATCAAATTCAAGGATTATAAGTACTTTAGTACTGCATTACATGCAAAGGAAATGCAGTCACCCGAGCCACTTAAAGTACAGATTCCAATTCCTTAAGATATAAAACTGCCATTATTACAACAAAGTTTATAGAAATGCAGATCATTGACCTGTGGCACATTACTATTCTAAATGTACACAAGTTTTCGAAAGCAAAATGAACCAACTCAGTGTTCTACACGAATACATACATGTTTTTAAAATTCTTAATATTATGACCAATCACAAAATGCTCATCTGAAAACTGCACTGTCACTACACTATATAGTAAAATCCTTTGAAATTCTTTGAGCTGTCCTCCCGACGTGAAATGTAAGGATTGTTAACTAAACAGCTGCAAACAGTGGAAAGGAATGGATTCCACGCAGATACTTAACTATAATCTGAGGAGTACATCTCACAGAACTACTGTCAAATACACAAATCCTGTATTGTATCCTTCACTGTACACCCAACATCCACGGTACACTTTGTAAACTAGCTGACGATCAAGACAGCACCACTTGAAAGAGGTTGGGAGGGAGGGGGGGGGGGGGTTGGGGGAAGAGAAGTAAAGCTCACTACAGTATGTTTACTTCAATTAGAGGACAAAACGCCTTATATTTGACAAATACTGGCTGACTTTCAGCTGCCAGAACAAACTGCTGCATGCACTGACATCTGCTTTGACTCCAAATTCTTTACAAGTTGTAGCTGCCGAGTGATGGCACACAGCGCAGGCTTACACCGTCAGCATCCACAACGAGACAATGAACTGAAAAGATCCTAAATCCTCTTTTCTGCAAGCCCTGTAGCTGCCATTGTTTATTTTGAAAGCCACTGAACTGAACTGCAGCCACTAATCCTCTCAGCCAAAATCAGTCCAAATCCAAAATAGAAAATACTCGCTGGATTCTGCCTTCTTCCTGGGCACGATCTCACCCACTCGCCATCCAAATTAAATAAAGCACAGCTCCCACAATATCCCTCTCTCTTTTCTCCCCCCCTCTGTCTCTCTCTCTCTCGCTCTCTCTATAATCAAGCACGAAACAAGCCAAAACAAACCACCCACCTTGGTTCCTTTATTACCGTACAATACTGTGTAGAAATTTGCGGGGACTGTTTTCAGTTCAAAGCAAATCCCAAAGCTGATGGGCACTTGCCAAGTCTCCAGCTTCTGCTACACTGACAGATATGCTGGATGGGAAAGCCCTTAATCCTGTATGTGTGTGTGTGTGTGTGTGTGTGCGTAAAAAAAAGCAGTGGTGGCCTTCACACAGCAGTCAACAATCCCCACCCATCTCCGTCGCTGCTGGAAGCAAACTGTTTTTAACATTGTCCCTCCCTTACTTAGCATCCACAAAGAGCAGATGACTGAGTTCTGTTGTTTCTGAGAACACGCAATTCCTCTGACGCAGGGTTTTTGAGATGTCTCAGCGATGTGATAAGGCTGCTATATCAAATGCAAGGATTATTATTAATATTATAATAACGCAGAGGCAGGAATTTTTTTTGCTCTTAGTTGCAGGGCTTGAAAGGAGATTTTCACTTGAAGCACATCTGAAAATTCTGTGCGTTCACAAAGTTTTGAGTGCTTTCCCCCCCCCCCCCTACAAAGGTTACTTTTATATTGTAAAACATCGAGTCAGGCTAGTTAATACTTTACTACGAGTGCCGGCTGCAACTTCTGAATACATCCAACTCACTATTTTATCCAAGAAGAAACAGTACAATTAATGTTGCATGCAAGAACAGTCACAAGCGCGATCTGTAATGCAGTGAAAATGTTGCGTTTCAAATCCTGTATTTATCGAAAATTGCACCCATGGGCATCCACACAATTCCACGTATACAGATTGTAAGATTCCCTTAAAGCCAGCTGTTTCGCTCTGCCTGTTACTCACCGTCCACTTTTCGTTTTAGGAATCGCAGATTTGTTTTCCAAAATAACACAGAATCACAGATGAATTAGAGAGTATGGGGAGCCCTTGCTGAGCACATGAAGCAGATTAACTCCCACTGCAAAGCAACTTGACAATATAAATCTGCCATCCAAACCCCAACTAGCTATTATTTCTTTACATAAAGTGCACCGGCCTTATTGCTGCCCAGCAATCAACTGGATTGACCGCCTTAGGCAAACGTGCAGTGATTACACCATTAATTATTTGTGCAGATGACGTTGGGAACCAGCACCTGCACACAAACCCACTGTCAATGCAAGACCCAAAGCATGTCACTTTTGATGATGATCTACACTTCCTCTCTCCCCATCCCCAAAACCCCAGCCACATCTTATCCCCCACCATGAGTGTACAATCACTTTAAGACGTCTCGAAGATGTGTTAAGCCCCTATATCAAATGCAATGATTATTACATTATTATTACATTTTGAATAGAGACAATTTATGAGCAGCATTTCTGCAGTCAGCACCAAAGGCAGAGAGGAAGAGACGTCATTGAGTTTCTGAGCTAAACTGTGCTGATTTGAAGAGGCATTTAGAACAGATCAACTTTATGCCACCTCCTTCAGTCACTTGAAGAACACATTCCTTATCGGATTTCTCAGTCTGCAAAAGAAGTGCATGGCTTGCTTGGGGGGTGGGGTGCGGTAAGAAATTGCAAGTAGAAAATAATTTATACTATTTCCTTAAGAAGAAGAAATGAGAGAGAGAGAGAAAAGTAAACAAGAAAGAGAATGAGAAAAAGATTGAAGAGTTAGAATATTTATCGGGTAGTAAGACTTTTTTTGTGTTCGCTGACCAGGACTTCGTGAAAAGTGCCAGGAGAACAATCCCAGATATTTGAACAACAACAAATTACATTTACACAGCACCTTTCATATCGGAAGGACATCCCGAGGAGCTGGACAGTTAAAGACTTACACCCGAATTGGGGATCGGGATCAACAGGGTTGGAGTAGGGATGTGGCCAAAGAAGAAAGAAGGTCTTGAGATGGGCCTGTCTCCAGAGCCTTGAGTCTTGGACGGATCAATGTTTTACAGAAAGTTTAAGAGTTGGTCAGGGGCCAAATAAACAGATCGACAGAGTGGATTTTCAAATGCATGTTTATATAGCAATACAATGAGCAACAACATCAAAATTCTGTCGCCTGACAAACTGTTCAGTGGAGTTCCTGTCTTTCAGATCTCTGCACTGTGACGACTTTTAAAGAAAGTCACGTTGGGAGGCAAAAAATCTCCCAAAAGGTTAGAAAGCTGCAGCAGATAACAACAACAACTTGCATTTATATAGCACCTCTCACACAAGGCAGTGTCCCAAAACAGTGGACAATTAAGGGTTTGCATCCGGGCTGCAAACTGATATCGTTGCACGCAGATATGACAAACGAAAAGAAGAAAATTAACAGGCAGTTCCATGAAACGGGTCTATCTGAACGGACACCTTAGCCACATTAACCGGGCAAATGTAGCAGGAGGCTCTGCATACTGATGACAGAGTTAAAATGCTAGTTATTAATAGGGTCCTATCACAAATGTCTTTCACCTTTGTTTCATTACTGACTGATAGATGAATCAACCTAAAGCATCATTGCGCAGCTGACCTTCAGCTGAACCGGTGAATAATCACTTGCAAACGGTAATATGTCAGTAAACCAAGCAAGGGTTTTATCCCCCCCACCACCACCCCTCTTTTTACAATCATTGCCATTAAAGGCGGAAGGTTTCTATTGCACAGCATTACACTACGGTCACAAAAAAGGCTATTCTTAAGGACCGGGATGCAGGAATGTGCATCACGTCTCTATGTGGTTGTAACAGTTAATTACATTGATGAGTACAAGATCATTTGGCAACTCAACACTAATCACTGGTGCTGAATAGGCTCCCCACAGTTATTCCTTCCAGGATTCCATTAAGGGCAAAACAACTAGAAATGAAAGCGGCGATGAATAATTATCCATTTTATAATATCTTTATGTGGTACACAACTCTAGCACCATAACTAATTAATTATTTGATGGGTTTTTCTTGCCCTGGGGGCAGTAACAGATTTTGGATTTATATCTCTTACATTTGTCTCGTCACATCGAAGGTCTCTCAGCACTTCACACTGCGAGTTACTTTGAAGTGTAGTGACTTATGTAGACAATCACGGCAGCAAATCTGCACCAGGAATAAGACCCTTGACAGATTCACGACCGATTCATTCTCTTGGTGAACTCGAACCGAGATGGAATGTTGGCCAGGACACCAAGAAAATCGAACTGCTCTTTTACCTCTCAAAATAATGCCGTGGGATCCTGGCCTACAGGCTGAAATCTTTTCAAAATATAAAGTAGAGAACGAACAGCAAAAGTTACAATCTGCATTTCCTATATGTCACCGTTAAGAACCGTGTCAGGGGGAAGTGGCTCCGGCACATCTGATGTGATAAACAACAAAATGACATTAACTTGAACTCAGTGGGTTGTATGGCACAAGAGGGAAAAAGAAATCCCTAGTTAAGGGAAATCAATGAGCAAATAGAAGGATTTAATTTTCCTTCTCCAGCCATCTTGATAAATTCAAACAATAAATCGCAGCAGAAACACTGTTTTTAACCCCTGTTGTACACCTTCTTGTTAGAGAGAGATAATCATTTTCAATCTGAACACCCTGCACAACAATGTTTTGTGAAAAACAATCTGCAGACAGCCGTGGATTGGGGAAAACTACAAACAACTGGGAATTGGAAAGCTGCCAGCATTCAATTCACTCACGATACTTCAGATCATTCCTTTGTTGGTTCCAATAGAAGTGTTTGAGGTGAACATGGCTCTAAAGCGTTCACACCACTCCAAAAATGCCTTTTCTCAAAGGGAATGGTTAAGATACAAAGACACGCTGAAAGAATGCAATTTCAATAGGATGCTTTGGATTTCCCCACTTCTTAAAAGCATTTTACCTACCTTATAGAACGTCAACAGTGTTGTCTGAGCTTGTATTCCCTCTGCCATCCTTTCACATTCAATCCAATGCAAATAGTCAGCTCTATTAAATATACCTTCCAGCACCCTGACCTCAGAAAATAATGCATGGACAAGCTTCATTATGTACAAATCGAGGATCCCAATCTGTGTATCAGCCACACTAGAAATTGCAACCACTTATAACAGTTTTTTTTNGTACATCTCATACACACAGATGTACCCCCCCGCCCCCTCTCCCCCCCACACACACAGAGCATTCAAAAATCTTAGGATGTTAATGTACACTTGCTTGTGCATTGTATCCCTCAATTTATATTAGAGAAGGTTAAAATAAACAACAAATATTTCTAGCAAATCTCCATTCACAATTAGTAACAAATACCCACCAATATTTGAATTGTCGGATTTCAATATAGGCTGAATCACTGAAGGTTGTGGGATTTGATAATAAACTCATTTGAATATGCTTTTATTTGTGTGTTGTGAAGCATAAGATTAAACACCAGAGATTGACTATATTAAAATTCAATAGGAGGTGTAGCAAATGCTGAATATTGAGCATGTCTGGTGCCAACCATTCCACAGGGACAAATGGGCCACTAAAATTGAACAGCTTCTACTGGTAAATTAAATAGCAGCCAGAACCTAATCTCACATGTATAAATAACAGACTACTCTGACCAAGAACTATTACCAAATCATAATAGGTCACAGGACAAAAAAACTAATCCTAATCCTTGCATTTGATATAGTGCCTTTCACATCAAGAGGATGTCTCAAAGGATATACTGTAAAGTGTATTTTGTGATCGGATGCGGCAGGCAATTTTCAAACAGCGATGTTCCACAAACAGCCATGAAATGAATGACCACTGTTATTTGGGGCTTGTTGGCCGGGACACTTGGAAGGAGTAATTTCCCTTCTCTTTTTCTTGAATTTCTCAATGAATTTCTCATCTATGACTATTTGGGGCAGTGCGTTCGAAAACCTGATTCCTTGCTAAAAGTATCCTTGCCTCAGTCCTCATCAATTTAATCTTCATTTTAAGGTCGCGTCCTCCAGTAATTGACCTGCAAGGGGTTAGGGTTAGGAAAAAGTAATTTACTGCTTTTTGTCAAAATCCTTTCATTACCCATAACATCTAAATTAAACTTTGCAACCTTCTTTAGTCCAGAGAACACATGCCCAACTAACCTGATATTCTACCTTGAACTGCATTTGCCATATTTCTACCCACTTACCTAAAGTTAGTATCATGTGAAAAAATTGCACTACAGCTTGTGCAAGTCAATCTGTTTTGGGATCCCTCCTTCTACTGCTCAAAGCAACAAAGAGAGAGAAAGAGCCTTTTTTGCCAGCCGCAATGTAAGCAGATGTTTACCGATGCTATACCCTGGGCACCTTGTGCTACATTTGATTTTTCCCATATGCTTGCCTTGTTCGTCTGGA